TTGCAGGAACTGTGTCACTGCATCCTCGGTCAACACATAGAGGAGCTCAGGAGAAGTCTCACGTAAGCTGCCATTCCTACACATCTGGGACTGAGAAATGATTGTGTCTGACAAACACTTCCTCAGTGGAGCCAGGGAGAGCTTGCAGTACTCGGTGGACATCAAGTGGGCATACATTTTGTCTGTCAGCTCCCTTGAAAACTTCTTTATCTCCAAACTGATCTGGGATTCCTGTAATGAGGACGGTGGCGCCATTTGAAACAGGTTGTCCACATCATTTTTAATGTCCTCATACTCCAGTGAAGAACTGTCCTGCTCCTTTATAATGTACGTTGTCACATCAGGATGAAAGGTTACCTTCTTTTGGGGTCTGGACTCTGGCACGACTCCTGGTAAAATATGCTCATCATCTGGTATGTCAACACTTGATGATGACATACATGAGTAGCTTGAAAGGCTAACTACATGTGTGTTGTCCTTTTTTCTGAACATATCCTTCAGGCCAATCTTCATCTTTTCGAACTGGCAAGCAAGAAAACAGTCTTCCATTCTTGATGCAAAGAACTTGTCACAAAAAGAAGGTGAACCTCTATCAAATCCCCCTGCATATCTCTCTGCATCCTCTGTAGCCTTCTCGGATTCCATATTTCTGGAAGACAAGATCTCAACATTGGATCTCCATCTGAAACACTTAGCTCTGGTCACAGTCCTCTTTAAAAACTCCATGGCATGAGTCAACATGCAGCGAAGTGATGAAATGCATGATGTGGCTCCAGGGATGTACACGGCTGGATCCTCTGGCCAACTTTCGCTGTTGGAGACCACTGATAAAACTGAGGAGACCTTTTGTTGAACTTCATTCTCAACTAAATCTGTGAGCTTTTCTGTACTCTCACATTTTTCAGCTGGAACATGAAGAGCTGCAGCAAAGCTGTCTGTAAGGGAGTCACCTAAACATGGCCTGGTCCTGAACTCCTCCAAAACTTCATTCATCTCCTCAGCAGACTCCTTTCTGCAGAAGCGCTCCATGAGCATGGGAAGTAAAATCTTCACAACGTCTGCAGAGAGAGTCTGCACGATTTCGGTGAACATGCTGGCCAGAATGTCCTCTACGCTTGCATCACACCCTCCTGCAACCACCATGCTCCATTGTGCTGGAGTTATATTTTGAAAATGTTTTTCCACAAGGGGAAGAAGGGATTCGGGTCGGATGATGACTGGTGAGTTAACCATCTTGATTTCTGTTTGTTTCTCTATGTCTGAAATCTTCTCTGCTGGTTTTCCTTAGCAGGGCTGTAGCTCTGACGGGCTCCTTTCTGCAGGTCGTAATCAGAACGATAAAGACAGAACGACTCCGGGTTAGTCTCTTAAACTTCAGAGGCCCTTTGATCTTATGACATCACTATGACATCACTATGACATCACCAGATGACATCACCAGATGACATCACTATATACAAGAATACACACACTTTTGTGTGTGTGTGTGTGTGTGTGTGTGTGTGTGTGTGTGTGTGAGACATAAATGGACACACACACACACACACACTGGAAAACCATTACAATTTGGCCAATTAGGCGATGACGTCATTTAGCGACTTTTAGGCCAGCCAATAGCTTCTTTGCTTACTGAGGAGTTAGCAACACTGTCTGCTACTGATCTCTGGTCTGCAATGGTGTGACCTTGTGACACAGCCTTTGAGATTAAAGTAGTAAATTTAGGATAATAAATTCATAAAGTAAATAAAGCCATGAAGCTGCTTTTGTAGAGGGGTCATTCCATGTCAATTCAACCAAGAATCACCACTTACGTCACAGATTTTGATGAAATTTGGTGAAGTGATTGGCCTTCAGGAGAAACTGTCAGAGCTCAAATATTTTTGTTCAAAGCCATCTAATTAGTGAGATAGGGGCTAATGAATTTTTGGCTAACTAGCATGACATGCGTTACAAAAGTTTCATATTTCTGGAGGTATGGCACCTAGAGAGCTGATTCAGGTGTCATTTTAAAGCTCTCTTCAAGTTCTATCTTTTTGTTCATAACATTTTTTCCCAAATTGGACCAGAAAAAAATTATAAAAGACCAAAAACTTAAATTGGAAATAGCAAAAAGCGCGCGTCCTTTAATTTTCTTCATATTCACACTTAAGAAAGACTATCATGTCCACTAGCATCCCTGCAAGTTTCATGATGGGCATTCCATAACTTTTTGAGTAATCAGTCAAAATGCGTGGTTCGTTAGGTGGAAAATCGCCATTTTTGGCACATTATACAATCCTGACCACATCTGGAGTCAGCCCCACTTGCATGCTTGTCTAAAATATTACTTTCTCATAGTGCAAAATGCTTTTTTTCAATTTTTTAATTTGTATGTTATCCCATATTTATATGAAAAATGGCTAGAATAGCTTATTTTTGCTTAGTTTTCCATCGCATTTCATTTCTATTTGCACCTATATCCAGAATATGAATGATCTTAGAGAATCATTTGGGCATACCTGCATGTCCTGGATCCTAGGGTTGACAAATAAACAGTGGAAGAAAGGTAGCAGATACCAGGTATTTTCGAGCACTGAGGGAGAAGCAGGATTTATTCCTCTAATAGAAACCAAGTTTTAGTCTGAGTTTAGTGACCAAACTAGCAATATGTGTTTTGAAAGAAAGCTCGCAATCAACAAGAAAACCCAGATATTTATACACAGATACAAGCTCAATGGGTACACCCTGTGAAGTTAGGATAGAGGAAATGTTCCCAGGTAACTCACTCTTGCTCAAAAATACCATGATTTTGGTTTTATTTGCATTCAAGACCAATTTGTGTTTCTGCAGCCGAGACTGAACAATATCAAAAGCAGATTGCAAAAACTCAAAAGCCTGGTTAATTGATGATAAACAACAATAAATGACAGTGTCATCTGCATAAAAGTGATAAGAGGCATTTGACAAATTAATACACAAGTTATTGATATAAATAGAGAATAAAATAGGTCCCAAGATTGAACCTTGAGGTACACCTTGAGGAACCTTGAGTTGTTAAAATTAGGGCCATGGAGCATTTGAAGGATCTGTGCCTCAGTATGGGTTTACAAACAAGGAGATACTTAAACCTTTGGCACATCAGCAGAAATGGATATGCAGAGGATATGTCTGTCAATGCAGCCGTAAATAGCCATGAATGGCATTGGGCTTTAGTTTATGGTATGAATCCATATGCCATAAGGCATTGGTGTCTCTGCAGGTGTAGGTGATTGCCGATGTCAGAAACATGGTGCTCCTCGGAGCCTGACTCCCTCTGGATCACAAATGTTGATTATCAGTTGGATTGTTTCTTCAGAAAGCACAAAAGCTCTCTGAATGGCCCGCTGATACATCCACCAATAACCCTGCAATTGACCAGTTCCAGCCATTTTCCCCCCTAAATATATACATAAAGGAAACGTTGAAAGGGCTCAGGATAAATAGCCTGGAATACTTCACAGGGAAACCCGCAACAAAATTTCAGGGTGCATAGGTAGAAGTTATTTGTCAACCCTAGGATCCAGGACATGCAGGTATGCCCAAATGATTCTCCCATGAAGCTAAGATCATTCATATTCTGGATATAGGTGCAAATAGAAATGAAATGCGATGGAAAACTAAGCAAAAATAAGCTATTCTAGCCATTTTTCATATAAATATGGGATAACATACAAATTAAAAAATTGAAAAAAAGCATTTTGCACTATGAGAAAGTAATATTTTAGACAAGCATGCAAGTGGGGCTGACTCCAGATGTGGTCAGGATTGTATAATGTGCCAAATATGGCGATTTTCCACCTAACGAACCACGCATTTTGACTGATTACTCAAAAAGTTATGGAATGCCCATCATGAAACTTGCAGGGATGCTAGTGGACATGATAGTCTTTCTTAAGTGTGAATATGAAGAAAATTAAAGGACGCGCGCTTTTTGCTATTTCCAATTTAAGTTTTTGGTCTTTTATAATTTTTTTCTGGTCCAATTTGGGAAAAAATGTTATGAACAAAAAGATAGAATTTGAAGAGAGCTTTAAAATGACACCTGAATCAGCTCTCTAGGTGCCATACCTCCAGAAATATGAAACTTTTGTAACGCATGTCATGCTAGTTAGCCAAAAATTCATTAGCCCCTATCTCACTAATTAGATGGCTTTGAACAAAAATATTTGAGCTCTGACAGTTTCTCCTGAAGGCCAATCACTTCACCAAATTTCATCAAAATCTGTGACGTAAGTGGTGATTCTTGGTTGAATTGACATGGAATGACCCCTCTACAAAAGCAGCTTCATGGCTTTATTTACTTTATGAATTTATTATCCTAAATTTACTACTTTAATCTCAAAGGCTGTGTCACAAGGTCACACCATTGCAGACCAGAGATCAGTAGCAGACAGTGTTGCTAACTCCTCAGTAAGCAAAGAGGCTATTGGCTGGCCTAAAAGTCGCTAAATGACGTCATCGCCTAATTGGCCAAATTGTAATGGTTTTCCAGTGTGTGTGTGTGTGTGTGTCCATTTATGTCTCACACACACACACACACACACACACACACACACACACACACACACACACACACACACACACACACACACACACACACACACACACACACACACACACACACACACACACACACAAAAGTGTGTGTATTCTTGTATATAGTGATGTCATCTGGTGATGTCATAGTGATGTCATCTGGTGATGTCATAGTGATGTCATATAGTGATGTCATAAGATCAAAGGGCCTCTGAAGTTTAAGAGACTAACCCGGAGTCGTTCTGTCTTTATCGTTCTGATTACGACCTGCAGAAAGGAGCCCGTCAGAGCTACAGCCCTGCTAAGGAAAACCAGCAGAGAAGATTTCAGACATAGAGAAACAAACAGAAATCAAGATGGTTAACTCACCAGTCATCATCCGACCCGAATCCCTTCTTCCCCTTGTGGAAAAACATTTTCAAAATATAACTCCAGCACAATGGAGCATGGTGGTTGCAGGAGGGTGTGATGCAAGCGTAGAGGACATTCTGGCCAGCATGTTCACCGAAATCGTGCAGACTCTCTCTGCAGACGTTGTGAAGATTTTACTTCCCATGCTCATGGAGCGCTTCTGCAGAAAGGAGTCTGCTGAGGAGATGAATGAAGTTTTGGAGGAGTTCAGGACCAGGCCATGTTTAGGTGACTCCCTTACAGACAGCTTTGCTGCAGCTCTTCATGTTCCAGCTGAAAAATGTGAGAGTACAGAAAAGCTCACAGATTTAGTTGAGAATGAAGTTCAACAAAAGGTCTCCTCAGTTTTATCAGTGGTCTCCAACAGCGAAAGTTGGCCAGAGGATCCAGCCGTGTACATCCCTGGAGCCACATCATGCATTTCATCACTTCGCTGCATGTTGACTCATGCCATGGAGTTTTTAAAGAGGACTGTGACCAGAGCTAAGTGTTTCAGATGGAGATCCAATGTTGAGATCTTGTCTTCCAGAAATATGGAATCCGAGAAGGCTACAGAGGATGCAGAGAGATATGCAGGGGGATTTGATCGAGGTTCACCTTCTTTTTGTGACAAGTTCTTTGCATCAAGAATGGAAGACTGTTTTCTTGCTTGCCAGTTCGAAAAGATGAAGATTGGCCTGAAGGATATGTTCAGAAAAAAGGACAACACACATGTAGTTAGCCTTTCAAGCTACTCATGTATGTCATCATCAAGTGTTGACATACCAGATGATGAGCATATTTTACCAGGAGTCGTGCCAGAGTCCAGACCCCAAAAGAAGGTAACCTTTCATCCTGATGTGACAACGTACATTATAAAGGAGCAGGACAGTTCTTCACTGGAGTATGAGGACATTAAAAATGATGTGGACAACCTGTTTCAAATGGCGCCACCGTCCTCATTACAGGAATCCCAGATCAGTTTGGAGATAAAGAAGTTTTCAAGGGAGCTGACAGACAAAATGTATGCCCACTTGATGTCCACCGAGTACTGCAAGCTCTCCCTGGCTCCACTGAGGAAGTGTTTGTCAGACACAATCATTTCTCAGTCCCAGATGTGTAGGAATGGCAGCTTACGTGAGACTTCTCCTGAGCTCCTCTATGTGTTGACCGAGGATGCAGTGACACAGTTCCTGCAAAAGACAGCACTCTGGTATGAGAAGGACCCATCAGTTGGTGCTCCGACCAGCATAGGTTGCTCCCCAACTGCACTGCAGAACAACCATACAGACTGCTTGCAGTCTTCATCTCAGACACCCCGTCCGATTCTTACGAGCGTGTTACCATCACGAGCTAAGAGACAAGTTAAAAACCTTTTGGTCTCTCTGCTCCTAGAACTCCAACTACGAGCTACCTGGAGAGATGAAGTCCCCATCGCCTTCTCGGACCTGGGTAGCATCAGGGACCGTCTGTATAGCAGAGCAAGGCATGACAGCAGCTTTTTGCAAGTCAAAGACATCAAGAACCGTAAGAAATTCTTGAAGGGCGTGTTAAAGGAGCTCATAAAAGAGATTGGTCCTGTGGAACAGACTCTGAGGGTAGCGGTATCAAACCCAACAGCTTTTGATGATGCTGTCCTCAGGTGTCTGAAAACCAAAATGGAAAAAACTCAGACGAAATCTAGAGTTGCTCGGTTCTTTCAGGTGCTGGGAAGACCTTTCAGACAGTTCTTTGGAACAAACAACGATGACAGCATCCGTGAATACTAAGTTAAGTACACGCAGCCCTTTAACCGCCCCACTGCACTCAGATAGGATCTCCAGCCTGTCTGAAGTTTCAAACATCCTCATGTTGGGTTTTCTCTGGGACGCTCCAGTTTCCCCAACCAGATTTATAGATTTAAATCAAAAAAAAAAAAAAAAAAACCTTAGTAACTCCGCCAAATTGTCCCAATTGGGTCATTTTTGCCGGTCCCAAGCCCGGATAAGGGAGGAGGGTTGGTTTTGTGACATTTACAAAAAACAAGAATCGCTGGAAGAAAGTTCATTTGCTACTACAATCAAAAACATTAGAAATAAAAAAGCTGCCAAGATCACATTGCAGTATCAGGGCACATATTTAGATTTTTTTTTTAAAATACCCTATTTTGATATATTTTGATGACCAGTACTTTTTCTCGGGTATATCATTCTGGGTAAAAATCACCCGGCGATAATAATCGTGTTACGAATTGTAGTGATAGTGTTCCAGGGTTAAACAACAGAAAGTTTATGGATGCAAAGAAACAAAAGTCTATTTTTTTCAGTCCACTCAGAAATAAGAGCCTTTGTCCCCACATGTGCTCGTGAGTTCACTTCTCTTACTGATTAATCCGTCGTCCATCAACATCAGCTCCTTTCTGCTCCGCAAACACAGATACCAGTGACGGATCACCCGATTTGTGTCAATAGTCAAGACCTAATCAATAAGGTTAAACACACTAATGTGGCTCTAGAGTGTGCGCAAACAGATATGTGTGTGTGTGAGAGAGATAGTGTGTGTGTGTGTGTGTGTGTGTGGAGGGGGAAAGGCGGGCTGGGGGTGCTGGTCTGATGTAACAGAGTCAGTTTCATCACCCGAGGCATCAAGGACGAGGAGAGACAGGAGGGAAGCAACATGAAGGATCTAAAATGACTCCTCTCTCTCTCTCTCTCTCTCACACACACACACACACACACACACACACACACACACACACACACACACTGGGTGTCAGCTTTCATCAGTATGGCGGTGAGTTATGACCACAGATACTTGATCATTTACACTCAGAGCTGCAGATAGCTGGAAGACACTGTCCTCCTTATGCGTGTAGATTTTATGTGTCAGTACAATTACTTTATATCAGTGAGTCTGAATCTCTGAAATCAAACTTAAACTCACAGTGTTTACATCTCAAAGACAGATTCTGGACTTCAACCTTTAAAAGTTTTTTTTATTTTTATGACTAAAGTTTGATCCTTCCTATTCACCTGTAGAGACACAAACAGCTTCAAAACACTTTACAGCATTACTGACTGAAAAAAAAAGAGAGAAAAGAGGATAAAGCTTTTTCTCCCACTTGAGGGCAGCAGCAAAAGTTGTGATCTCAACATTTTTGTTGGCTTCTTTAATTGTCCGTACAGATTTTTTAAAGCATACCTCCCATACAGCTCCAAAGATCTGCGCACAATGGGCAAAAGTTATAAAGTTAAATGCTTTTTAATTTTTTTATTTGAAATCTTTGTCGGTGACGTTTTCTCAACTTTTTCTTGATGGGTGCTGGTCCATCTGAGCTGACGGTAAAACCTGAGTGTGAGCTGAGAACAAGGATTGATTCTTCAGGTGTTTGTACATGCACATGCTGGTCGAAGCATCTGAGTCTGAATCACTAATGTCAGAAGAATATTTCTGAGGGAAAACTGGAAGTTTGTATGGTGAACTTTTCCAGAAAACCCAGTTGAGTTTCTGGGCTCTTGGCAGTGGGGTAGATTCTTAGGAGGCTGAACACGGAGAAGAGAAGAGAGTATATAGCAGTCTACTACATGTTGGTGGTTTTAATGGTGCACTGTCCAGATGTGCTTCCTTTCCACATGTGATGCTTCATGGCTTGGCCCGTAGACCCAGAATTTATGAGTATTTTTGATAGAAGATATCGATCTATCTGGGTAACTTTCTTCTAAAACCTGACATGGATTTGTGATAGGATACGAAGACACAATCCCCTTACTCAAATCGTACAAATGGAGAGAGCAGACATTGTGATTTCAAGTGATTACGAACCAAATTTCATTAGTCTACCTCGCCTTATTTTCACAGCACACCAACCTTTGCTCATGACCCAAAATTATTAGTATATTGTGCAAACCTCTATTAATTCAAGCAATGGTAGCATTTTCAAGTTTTCAGACACTTTACACATCTGAAAAGCTATAAATTTGAAAGATTACAGATGAATTAACTTCAGTTAGCAGGAGTCAGCCAAATTTTGAGCATACTCAACCAAAACTGAGAAATTTATTTATTACTCATTTCAATAGCCTATGTTCTTCATATCTCACTTTTAGTCTGTATTCATTGTATATACTTATTATTTTTAGTATTTTTAGTCTGCATTGTACTTACTTCTTCTTATAGTTAATTTTATTTTGTTTTTTTTTGTTGCTGTAGCGTGACTTTCCCAGTTTGGGATCAATAAAGTATATCTATCTATCTAACTATCTATCTATACAGCATATCCTCTGATATAGTGGGAGTTGGTGGCTTTAGTATTTAATGAGCATTAAGAGATGTTTAAGAAAAAACTCTTACAATGCATTATGTCCTACATAGTTCTTTAACCCTTTAATGCTTTTTGTGTCATCTTTGATACATACTTGTACAGAAATAATAAAAATGTCCTTTTGTACTTTCTCAGTTTCCAAAAACATCTAATGTATCAAACAAGATCAATCAATTCATTTGTTAAATTTTAAGGACATTTAGTTTTTTTTTGTTTTCAGTAGTGAGTGAAATAAACATTCAGCTCCAAAAAAAATTTAATTTTCTGACAATAATTTGTGGTGTCAGGCATTAAAGGGCTACGACTCGAGAGGTTAAACTCAGCTCTACTTTATGCTGGAAACACAGAGAAGAAGCTCAAACTCAGGGTTCAAATCACTGACAAATTCTTGAATTGTGTTCCAGGAAAATGTTTGGATTAGAGAGAAGTCAAAGGACGGGAAGTCAAATAAGAAAACAGTGACAGTCTTAATTTTTGACCTGATTTATTTATTCTTTACATGACCAGCAAATTGAAGACAAACAGAGACTTCATTTTTGATCAAACACATCATGTAAAGACAAATAAACACCTCACATAGACACAAAGTACAGCAGGTCCCCCAAAATACTGCTCTACCTGACAGAAGCTTTCCATCTGTGTCATTCTGAGCTTTTTCTGTTTGAACATTTCCCCCCCCCAAAAAAACCTCAGAGAGCTTTCATTTCAATTCAGTCCAGGTCATTCCAGTTCAGATCCGTTCAGCTCGATTCACTTTAATTCAGTTTGCTTCACCTGGAAATGGCTCACACCACTGACAGCGAGCTCTCATTTACTCTGCAGCTTCTTTGACTCCATCCCGGCTCTGTGTTACACCATCAGCATCACCTACAGGGAGACAGAGAGGCAGCGTCAGTGTGTGATGCTGAGGAAAAGACACAGGAACAGGGCAGACGCAGGTTTGCGTGGATGTAAATACTCGGACTGCTGGATTCGAAAAGCTTACATCTCCAGGAAATCGACTTTTCAGGGATAAACAGTGAAAGAGGCGCTTTTTTTCAACCTCTTCACATTAAAAAAAACACAGATTTATAGAAATAAAAATGTGTTTTTTTGCTGCTTGGGTATGTGGCGCTTTTTAAAATTCAACTCACAACAAGAAAATGGTGAAAAAGCACAGCTGATACATAAAGATGCAGCAAAAGGGTGTATGTTATAGTTAAATCAAACCAATGTCCTCACACACACACATGCAAAAAATTCAATCATGTCTCTGCTGCCGCCTGAGGGGAACGCAGTGTGGAAGCCCCACTATAGTGGAAAATCACCTTTTCCATGTTATTTTACACAGCACCACACACACACACACACACACTCAGACTCACACACACACACACACACAGATACATGGAGTCTGGCTGCATTTACACCAGGAACCAAGAGATCTGATTTCTTTGTGACTCTTTGTGGTGCAGATCTCCCAGCGTCATGGCTGTCTCTCCGCTGGAGGAGTTGGAGGCGAAAGTGATTTTTATACAAGCGTGAAAAAAACCTCGGTGACTCACGGAGCTAATGTGATCATGTGACGCGGGTAGGTTTGGCTCCGGCAGATTTCTTAGAGTATCATGAAGATAGGCTCAGTGTTTTACAATTTAACTTTGAGGGAAATCAGAGTTTTTAAATGATTGTACGATTAGCTGTAGGGATGTCCCGATATAATATTGATTCCTGATATTGGTTCAATATCAGCAAAAAAAAAGAGAATATATCCAATATCAGCACTCTGATGCAAGCAGTCCATTCCAGACTCCGCTCCGGCCCTGATCCAGCAAGCTGAGTCCACGTAATCACAACAAATAACAGTGTGTACTAACGCAGTGGTTCTCAACTAATGGGCCCCGACCCAAAAGTGGGTCGCAGACACCTTCTGGATGGGTCGCAAACAGATGGTAATACGCGTGTATTTTTTGACATGTCTTTTATTTTGAAAAATAGCTTATTTCGTCGAATTTGATATTGATATTTTCTGTATATGCCACCTCAGCAGTTGTCATCCTCGGTTCATGTGCTCTGAAATGCACTTTACTCAACAAAACGGGTGTATTTGTGTTAAAGATTTGAGTCTTTAAAAGTTTTTTTCCATAAAAAATAGATTTGCTTGGTTTGAACTCTATAAAAGCGGGTCGTGACTTAAGGACCATGGGAAAATGTGGGTCCCAGAGTGGGACCAGTTGAGAACCGCTGAACTAAGGTACTAACAAAGTAGAAAGGAGTAAGAGCGATGTCGGCCTTGTGGCAGGATTTTTTGTGTAAGTCTGAAAAAGACGTTGCAGCTGAGTGAAAAAGTTGTAATCAACAATTTTGTGCCAATATCAGATCAATTCCCTGGTGGTCTAGTGGTTAGGATTCGGCGCTCTCACCGCCGCGGCCCGGGTTCGATTCCCGGTCAGGGAACATGTCTTTGACTTTATAACTCTGTCACTTCAGTTT